ATTTGTTCTAAACAACTTTTCTGACCATAATATAGGATCGCAAAGCCAGGGGAAACAATTGCAGAAACACAATAGAGTGCCGAAGTTACGACGTCACTCTGTAGGCTATAACGCGGAAGTGAGTTAGCATTTTAGCATTACGGTTCCCTCGCTCTAAAGCCTACGGGATTTTTGAATGGGTTTTTGCTAAATCGCCTGAAATAAGGTCTGTGGTGAACAACGCCTCCAAATATTTTCACGTTTTGATCTATGACATAAAACACACATTTATAACCTGCTTGTGTTTTTTTTAAACTTTACTGTGTCTGATCTAAATCTTTATATAGGCTTCAAAATGTATACATTTTGGATTACCTTGTAAAGATTATCTTGCTAGACAAAACGTGTAAGGGTCATAACCCTTTGTTAAACACAGATCTTATTTTTTGTGATTTTCCAAAAGTCTATGGGGAAAATGCATTGCTCTTCGACCGAGGGAACCCATGCGCCGCTCGGTTGTCCTACAAAGTGACGTCATCACTTCGGCACTCTATGGGGACCGCCTTTGTAATTTTTAAAGGAGTAGTTCACTTTTGAAAAAAACTTTTGCTGATAATTTACTCACCCCCATGTCATCCAAGATGTCCACGTCATTCTTTCTTCAGTCGAAAATAAATTAAGGTTTTTGATGAAAACATTCCAGGATTTTTCTCCATGTAATGGATTTCAGTGGGAACCAAACGGTTCTAGGTCCAAAAGACACTTTCAATGCAAACTGCAAACTGCGCAAAGGGCTTTAAACGATTCCAGACGATGAATAAGGGTCTTATCAAGCGATACACCCCCGATTTGAAATGATTAATGCATTATTGAGAGAGTATGGTGGCTATATGGTCCTGCACACAGAAAAGGCTTTTAACCAAAGAAACAAGCAAAAATAGTCAAGGGAAATTATGCAAATCACAAAATTGCCACTGAATCCATTTTGCATGCAAGAATTCACAGACTATTGGGAAATTTCGCTCCACCACTATAATCCAAGTACTTGATACGGCACTTAAAAATTGTGAACGCGCGCTCAACTGCTCATGCGACTCGATATATACGCCTGTCTTCAACATCATTACTGATGCCATGACAAGAACCACAATGCTTTCAATTATACTAATAAGAATTTATTCTAAACTGTTTTAATTATTTACTGTTTTACTTTATTTTTTTACACTAAACTGATTTAATTATTCTGATTTCTTTTGATTATTTTAACTTCTTCTATGTAAAGCACTTTAAATTACCATTGTGCATAAAATGTGCAATATAAATAACCTTGCCTTGCCTTGCCTAATAAATATAAACAAATAATACAAATATAAAATCAATAGAATTAAAATGAAATAAAATGAAACGTCAAATTACAAAAACAATACGGTACTTAAAAAATGTATTAAAAATAAAAATGTATATGTTCTAATTAATAAATTAAATGAATATAAATATATTATATTTATACTTATATTTATTTATTTTATTTACTAATTTTAAATTAGTAAATAATTTAATTGTATTAATTTTAAAAGTAAATAAAAGGTAAACAAAATTATTCAAATTACAAAAATAAATTAATTTGAAAAATATATTAAATCATTAGCATAGAAATAAAAAAAAACATAAAAAATATACTGTACATTTAAAATATTATACATGTAAATGATTAAAAGCTGTGTGATGAAAAAATAATACAAATATAACATTGGAAAAAAATTAGTGTCTGGTTAACTGCAATTAGTGAGATTAGTGAATGAGATTTGACTTCAATTAATGAGTGAATCAGTGTCCAATGTGAATGTAGGTTGGGCCTTGATTTTATCCATTGGGAATAAAATCATTTAAGAGGAAAGCAATTTTTTTTTTTTTTATCAAAAATGTTTATTTTTGACCCTAAGGGTAACTATATCCATTGCTTTGATAATCAGCCACTCATTTATTTATTTCAGGTCATGAAATGACTGATTATGTTGAATTTGTCGTCTCTTTCTCTCTTACATTAGACTGAAATCCCATATTAATTCTGACAGAGAAAATGGAAAATAATCCTCAGACTCATATTAGGATGATGAGTACAGCACCTGATAAATGAATCAATGAACAATGTCCTAAAAGTACATAATGAGTCTTTAATGAGTTTAGCACCATCCATTAGCACTAGCTAGCACAGCTTCCCCCAAAGTCATCAAACTCGCCACACAACAACTGCGAGAACCGAGAAGCTGGAGGATCCGTGTGTGTCTCGATCCTCGGTCTTACCTCCAGACTTATCCGTCTCATACACAGTCTCTGAGAACGCTGGGAATCCGGACGTATCGTGATTTCACTCAACTAACTCTGACCGCCAGGTAATATTTCATAAATGAATTAACTTCACAGTTAATAAGTGGCAGATGTGATTAGATAGAGTATCTAAGAGAACAGAAGGCAGGGAACGCTCCTGCACTGCAACAAAATCCGAAAATCAAGATACATTTACTTCAGATGCTAAATGACATGAGATATTAAGTCTCATTTCCTGAAAAATTAAACAAGCAAAAAATATCTGCCAGTGGAATATGAAAAATAAACATGTTTTGCTTTTGAATTAAGTTTTAATTTGTCTTTCCTCGCTATGAGATTCTTAACCCTTTACCTGTCACCCCCCCTTTTTGATAATTAACATTAAAATGCACTATACAAACTTAAATGGTTGTAATTCAAGAATGCTTATGTATATTACTGATTATTACTGAATTGAAAGCACATCAATTTTTTTTTAATAAAAGTTATAATTTACAGTAAATCAAATATACTTTATTAATATATATTTTTAAATATAAAATAAATATTTTACAAAATATTTTTTTTACTATAAAATGAAAGCTATATATCTAACCAAGTTGTGTTCCAAATTTAAAGTTGATATCACAAAAATTGAAGTTCCCATGAGATTTTGTTTAGGCGTTATACCAAAAATAGCCACCGGGTGCCATTGAATTCCATTGAATTTAATTGTATGCATTCTGCCATAACAAATTAATAAATTTCTATCCAAATATCACTTCTGTCACTAAATATGGAACCTTGAGACTCAGACCTTTCTGACAATATGATTTTTGTCAAGATTAGAAAAGGTTTTGATAATAAATTATGAAAGATGATGCCCAAAAGGGGAGGGGCCTAAAAACAAAAATACCGTTTCTATGGTAACGCAACGTCCAATTTCAAAACGGTTTTCACTGGATGAATTCTGAGTTCGTAAGCTTTTAAATGATACCTAATTTATGATAACTACTAAAATATGTGATATAATAATAATAAAAAAATTATATTTATATTTATAATATATTATACTTTTTAGAGGACTTCTTTCCTTACTTTTTAAAATATAATTTCATCTTTTTTTATTGACAAATACTAATTATGTTTTATTATGAACTTTTAGCACTAAAAACCAAAGTTTCAATTATTAAAAGTGTGTGCATCGACTTTTTTGAGGCGCACTCTTGTCATAAATTCATATATTTGTAAGAAAAAACAGTGCTAAAATATCTATTTAGGAGTCTTAGACCTTCTCAACGATATATAGTTTGCCATGACTAGATTAGGATTGAATAGAAATATAGTGAAGGAAATTTAGGTTGCCCATATACGGGCAAGTGACAGTTAAGGGGACTCTAACTATATCAAGTAATTTAATTTTTTTTTTTTTAGAAACAGAAGTAATTTGCTTCTCAAGTAAATGTATCTTGATTCAAGAATGTTCAAGACAAATACAAATAACATCATTTTTTGCAGTGTGTTTGTGATCATGTGACACAACAACCGGCCATTTGGTGCGTTCAAGTCATCTCTTGTATATCATACTTATGAGTTGAACGCACTTGAAGCCCTGATCTTTACGAGTTGTTGGTGCGTCACTGAGAAACATGGCGGAATACCACAATACTTAAAAGTATTTAGCAGTGATAATGTCAGGCTTTTCCATTTAAAGCGCAGTAAGCTAATTACCAGCACAGAATATGATGATATTATAATATAACAATGCAACGTGTAACGATAACGTTGGCAGTGGCTTCATACATTAATCAAAAACATAAAAAAACAAAGCACACCTGAGACACAGAGTTTAAGAACCGTTTGTGTAATTAGTTAAGAGAAAGTTCTCCGCCATCTTACTCCGACGAAACACGACTTCCCGCCTCGTACATGATTTTCCCAGGAGGACTTGAACGCACTAATCGTTCAGTCGGAAGAAGATATTCCTCATGACGTGCTGAGAGCCACACATCTGAAATAGCCTACTATATGTGATGAAATTGCCTTAACCATCCTTTAGAAGCATATTAATAACTTAGAGCTATTGATCGAGGCGTGAACAAGAGTGAAAACCCCCATGCAGACAACCTAAAAATATCCGAGAAGCGTTTCTGTCACGTGTGAATGTTTCCTAAATTCCCTGTGGACGTTTTTTGTTTTTTTTTTGGCTTTTTAACTGGAGGGGAGAGAAGTGGAAAGTGCTATTCTACCCATGCCGCCTAATCACATTTCTCTCTTATTAGTTTCCGAGCGCACAGAGTGAAATTAAGGTTGAAGTGGCCAAATCTAATAAATATTGATGCTCATTACAGAGCCTTCTCTACCTGTCTCTCTCTCCCTCTCTCTCTGTCGCCTGTTCGCTTTTCTAGATGTGTCAGCTGTACCCAGAATGCCTCAGCCCCTCCCTTCCCGCTCTTTAAATGATCCGCCTGGCAGAGAAACTGGCTGGTATCTGAACGTACATACCAAATAAAGCATTACTCCGGACTAAATATAGACGCTGCACACTTTGACGTCTGAAATATTAATGGATATCTCTTGCAAACACACTCCCCCCAAAAATCTGAGCTGCTTTGTTTGATGATAAACCAGTTGCGAAGAGCTTTACAAACAAAAACCTCAGTTGGGACCTGAACATGTCCCTCGGTCACTGAGAGTAATAAAACCCGTCTTACCGGATGTTTAACAGCAGTGGGATCTGCCCGTGTTAGTGTGTGTCCGTATCCACAGGAGTGGGATTATATCCAGAATGCTGATGCGGTCCGGACTCCTCACAAAACACAACCTTGATGAAGAGATCGCAGACGCATCCGTGATCCACCTGCTTCCAACACGCATGAACACACACGCACGCTCCGACACACACTCGAGCAGAGGGCGTACCTACAGTCAGCCAACGGAGAGGTGGAGTGAGAGATGGAGAGAGGGAGAGAGAAGGGAGAGCGTTAGGACGGCACAAGGTGGAGGGAGGAAGTGTGGGAAACCGAGAGAGAGAGAGACAAAGATGCACCAATCACATTTGTTCTCTTCATTGCCATCACAGTAGCTGTTTTCTGATGGAACAAACTGTCCCACGGGAGAGAAAAAATTACAAATGGAATTTCTCAGTGATTTCTTCTATTTAGTTGTAATGCAATAGATGATACGCTTTCTGAGAAAATACAATTTCAGTTTTTTTAAAATGTCATGTTTAATGTAATGTGTTGTTTGCGATTTGCTATAATATTTGATTATTTGTGTGTTTTTAAGTGATTTTTGTACTTGTTTCCCAATAAAAGCGTCCTTAAAACAAGATTAACGTGTTATTTTGTCAGTACGTTTGTTAAATTTATGCTTAAAAGAACAAAAACATTATATACGAATGGGGTAAGTTCTTTTTTTTCCCAAATTAATGAAAAAAACTTGTATGATGAATTGTAGAAATATTTTTTTTGGGAGAAAAATTTGCTTATTTCAAAGAATATATCAGTTTTTGTTTTCCTTGTTTAAAGCATAATCAAAAAAGAGCAAAACAAAAATAAATATTTTGAATACATTAAAAACATTTTTAACTTAAAGCTGCAGTCCATAGATCTTCCTCTTTGTTTCCATCTCACTCGAAATGAAATCGAAAATCCAGTTATTCGTGAAATTATCAATTTTACATGGGTTGTGCCTCGGCACAGCACAGCGTGGATGAACACAATGTTTGAGGAGAGTGTGAGGCTGTCAGTCGCCGCGCCACTTTTGATACTAGCATTCAGAATCACAGATTATTCTTTTTGGAAGTATGACCAACATAAGGATTTTCACTGAAAAAGGTCATCTGAACAAGTATCCACTTTTGTTTTGACCAACTCAGGAAAAAAAAACAAAAAAACATTGAAGTAAATCACGCTAATTTAATCTAACGATCGATTATCATCAGTGATGGGGAAGTTACTTTTAAAAAGTAGTGTAACTCGTTACTTCTTAAAAAAATTAATCTGTTACTTTACTTAGTTACCCCATATGTAAAGTAACTTTTTACGTTATTCGTTACTTTTACGTTACTTTTCTGTTGCTTGCACATATCTGTTGCTAAATGTGTTTGCCTATATAAAGTTCTACTATGCATAATGCCATATAATACCATTAATGCATTTATCAAAATGTTGAATATTTATGAAGAAATGCCCATTAATGGATAGGCATATGGGAGGGGCTAGAATGAAAGCTCCCAAGAAAGACCAAAGCTCCCTGTTAGCACCCCAAAAATAATTTCTGGAAGTGATTATATTTTTAGGCTGTATTCTATGGAAGTCCTGAACCGTCCAAAAAAAACTTAGGCTATCTTGTTATTTCGACATAATAAGGGGACATTCTAATCTGCATTAAGCCAAATTAAGCGTTCTTACAATGGTTTTCTATGGGAGGAAAATGCGTAACGTTTTCTTAATTGAACACGTTGCGTTCATATTCTGGGCTCATCTGATTTCATACTAGCCTATAGCCTACTTTATTATGATTTTAGTATCATAATGATTAATAAATGCACGCACAATCATTCGTGAACTTGATAAATGTTGCGGATATGTTTTACTATGCAAGTAAACAAATGCCTTTCAACGTATGTGTGCAAAAAATTTGTACAAAGAGAGAGTCTAGGCTTGCAATACGTGTTGTAGCCATTAAATAAGCGCATTTAGTTTCATATTTGTTAAAATATTGTATTGTTATTTTTTTTTTTTTATCTATGTTGATTACGAAAAGTGAACAGCATGAGTAAGATGGATGCGCAATATATCGGAAGACATTGAGTGGGTCAGACATGATTTTGACCACTTTTTAGAAGTAAGCCTTTCTTTAAAGTGAATTTCGTTTTGTATAAAATTGTATCTTAATTTTAATATTTTTTTTATCAACCAATTGCTTGTATTTAATAGAAGCAAACATAGCAGACAATATAATCATGACATGGAGGCGCCGGCGTGGTCTTTTGTTGTGCGTGAACTAGAGCCCGACCGATAAAGGATTTTGAAGGCCGATACCAATATTTTTGGGTTTTAAAATCCGATATTCCGATATATCGGCCGATATTTTATTTATTTATTTATTTATTTTTTAAATTGGACATGATAGTCACAAATTTTGTCATGCTTATTTGAGTTAAGAGAACTGATGGAGATGTTCTTTTAACTGTTATTCAAGCAATGTATGTATCGTGCCCAACTCAACGAGTGTTGCCAACAGGGATGGTGTAGAGTGCCCTCTGGTGGACGAACTATACAACTCCAACACTCATGACATGGTTCAAGCGTGTTTCGTCCGTTTTTATTTTATTTTTGAAATATTCATTTATCGGCCATTATAACTGCCGATACCGATAGTTTGGAAAATGCCTAATATCGACCGATAATATCGGCCTGCCGATATATCGGTCTGGCTCTAGCGTGAACTGGAGCGCACCTCATCATAAATTAACCGAAACACACAGAGTATGCCTCACAGGCATGATAAATATATCTATATATAGAAATCTTGAAATGTCTTTAAAAGAAACAATTCAAAACGAAGTCCAACGTAGCCACTCCGAAGTCCGAACGAAGTCTTTTGCATTTTACAGCGGGTGAATCTCCAGTTGTAACTGTTGTTTGAACCTTTCTGGATTCGCCATCAAATTGATAAGTTTAATTATATCAAGTGCTGTGAAATCTCCACCTCCGACATCCTCACACGTAATATAGCCGACTAGCCGAGACTCTTCTTTCATTTTTAACCCAAAAAGGTTACGGACTGCAGCTTTAAATCAAGATACACAATCTCAAATGGGCAATATGGCCAAAACCATTATATTACATATCAGTCGATATCGATAATTATCACAATAAATAAAAAATCCTTATCTCTTTCAAATTTAAAGGCAGATTTTTGCTCAACCGAGGTAACGTACGTTAATCCTGTCAGATCGTCCATGCCTTGAGTGAGCGTGTAGGCGGCTACGGGTCGGCCAATCTGGTTCCGTCCGTTAAAGATTTTGGAAATAACAATCGCGGTCCTAGACACTGAGTGACCTTACACATTAAGATAATATCGGATTTTCTCCAGTCATTGTTAAAAAACAAGCTAACAATCCTTGCTAACTAGCGTTAGTGAAGCGGCCAGAGGGATCGTTCTGCCTCCACCTAAGCTCTGCCCACAAAAAAAACGTCACCATGTTTCCCAACTGAAAAGGGGTCTATACGAGTGATTTATAGATTACCATGACAGAATATCCTAATTGAAGATAGTTAACTCCACATCAACTAACCATTCAGAGACATCCTGTTGCTTTTACATGTTGTCATTTCTTCTTGAGCATCTCCATCTTTGTCTGACTCCGTTAACATCAAAGGCAGAACAGTTTCTGATATTTTAGAGCGTCTGTGTGAGGTAATCAGCTAACGGCTCTTGAAACCCCGCCCTCTGCAGCAGCTCATTTGCATTTAAAGGGCCAGGCACAAAACAAACAATGTGTTTCAAAAGTTTTAACATGCTATAGACTTTTTACAGTTGGTAAACATGGTGACATTTTTTTGTGGGCGGAGCTTAGGTGGAGGCAGAAAGATCCCTCTGGCCGCTTCACTAACGCTAGTTAGCAAGGATTGTTAGTTTGTTTTTAACAATGACTGGAGAAAATCCGATATTATCTTAACGTGTAAGGTCACTCAGTGTCCAGGACCGCGATTATTTCCAAAAGTTATTTTTAACGGACGGAACCAGATTGGCCGACCCGTAGCCGCCTACACGCCCACATGCATGGATGATCTGACAGGATTAACGTTACGTTACCTCGGTTGAGTGGCCTGACTTCTACACCTATCTTACAGAGAAACCGATCGTAAAGCTAAACTGAGGGCATATAAATCTTTAGATGCCTATATGATCCTGTACAAGACTTGTGTGTATGATCCGCAGTTCTGCCGAGCCAGCGCCGAGACGACGACAATGTAAAGAGTGACATTACAGTGCAATTTTAATGATGTAAATATTTTCTATAAATAAAAGTTCCAGATACAGTATATTCATTTTTCATCAATTCTTGCACCAAACAACACAACAAGATGAGATTTAATAATAGTAACAATAATTTAAGCTCCTTATTATGTAGCCGAATCTGTGCTGGTTTGTATTGGCCGCCTCCAGTTTTCACTTTGTTTTGCCTCCAGCTAGCGCCGTGACGTAACTGTGACGTCGGCGCAAAAGGGGTCTATTTAAAAATATCAATATTTTGTGCTAAAACTTCACACACATACTCACACACTGGGGACATCAGAGATTTATTTTACATCTTGTGAAAATTGCATTTTAGACCTCCTTTAAGTGAGTAACGCTGTATTGTTGCGCTTTTGGCGCATAAACATTATATCGAACTTCTATCAAACTCTTGTTATCATTTTATCAAGGAAAATTATATTGCGATAATCATCCTGTTAGGGTCGGTAAGATTTTTTTGTGCATTTTTGAAATCATTTATGCTTATCAAATCACTCTAATACGATAATTTGCTGCTCAATAAACATTAATTATCAATGTTGAAAACAGTTGTTCTGCTTAATATTCTTGTGGAAACAGCCAGATTTACAGATGAAATAGATTTTTTTTTGTAACATTATAAATGTCTTTACTGTCACTTTTGATTAATTGAATGTGTACTTGCTGAATAAAAGTATTAATTTCTTTTTTTCATTGTTTCATTGTTTTAAGGTTGATTAGATATTTTCACAGTAAAACAAGACAAATAATGATTACACAATGATTTGACAAGCGCTATCTTACTCTCACCCGTCTTTGTGTTTGTCTCTCAATCATTGTACTATGCACGTTCATGACAGTGATGGATCCTCTATGTTCCTGTGCAATATGTTAGCCGAGGACACGAGAATGAGGGGACAATGTCTATGATGCTGTGGAGTCGAAAGACCAGAGAACAGGGACAGAAAGAAAGAGAGATTGGATTCTGGAGTGGAAGAGCATACTGTAGAACAGAAAGCTCAGGATCAAAGCCCAGGATCAGTGTGACTTTAGAAAGTTTCTCCACAGGAGATAAAAGAATCGTCAGATATCCTCGCTCAGCACAGGCAACAAAGGGTCTTGTTTGTTTGCTCAGATTCTTTGTGTTGGGCCGAAACTGATCATGGATTGAACCGGATTGACCTTTTATGTAAATTGACCCTTCGATAAGCCACACTTTAAAAACATCACTGACCAATCAGCACACAAGCTTTTGATGACCGCAAGTCTGTGGAGCATCCGTGTGTTAGTGTGTGCTTATTTCTAACACAATTGTACAAATTGAATCATGTTAATCAGTTTTTTTGAAGCAGATAAGATAATAAACTAAATCTGTTTCACTATCGTTGATTTTTTTTTTTTTCGAAAGAAAATGCCGTTCTTTTGAACGGATCAAAGAATCCTGAAAAAATGTATCATGGTTTCCATATTAATATTAAGCAAAACAGCTGATTTCTGAAGGATCATGTGACACTAAAGGCCATTGCACACGAGTCCGAAATTCGAATCCGAAATTTTCGCACGTTAAAAAAAAAATTCGACCTCACGTTATGTCAATCACGCTTGCACACGTCTCTGAAACTTTCGTCCGTCATAAAATTAATCGGATCGGGTTCGATTTTCGGCGTTTTTCGCATCCACAGCCACCGTTTTGAGAGGTTTTTGTGACAATTCAGGGCTCGTTACGCACATCATTCCACATGCGCAGTCCTTTCAGTTTTGTTTTACAAATTTCAATTCGATCAAATTTCAATTCGATCAAGGGGAAATTTCGGATCGATCAAGGTGTGACTGAGCAGCCAATTGGATAACTAATGTATTATTTGGGTAGGCTACAATATATAACCTGGTTGTAGTATACAGCTGTTCTGTCTGCCCAGTGCTTCCGCCGGCCCGGGCCGCATACAGTACTTTTAGACACACTGCCAGTCTCTGTTCAGCATTGATTGGTTCACGGAAATTGGTGGTCTTCTTTTTAATATGTGGCTCCAGAATCGCTAGGAAAGCATCAAACTGTCCCACTGACATTCTGAGGTAAATTTTGAAAATCTCGGGATAAATTCGCGACTCCTTGATAAGTGGATAACTTATCCTTGATAACTCTCCTTCCTCGGCGCAATTTCAGGATTGGATGGACCCAATATTTTCTCTTTCTTCTCTTTTCAATGAGATAGAGGGCTACAAAATCATCCTCACTGCTTGACAAATCCATTTTGTATTTTGATTTTTGATTTTCCCCGCAAAGGTTTAATAAATACACATCGGACTCAGTGTGCTAGGTTTCTGTGTGTGACGAATTTTTAGGCTGACGAACCCGAAAAAACCAACCCGATCTCACGACCAAATCGTATGAATTCGACGTATGATTAAAAAGTGTCTAATTCGCAATAATTCATACGACCTCACTCGTATGAATTAGTACGATTTTGCTGAATCGTACATATTTTTTACGAATTGGCCAATTCGTATGAATTCGTACGAATGCCCTACCCCTTACCCCGCCCCTAAACCTACCCATCACGTGGGTTTAGACAAATCGTACAAATTCGTACAAGTGAGGTCGTACGAATTAGACACTTTTTAATCATGCGTCGAATTCGTACCAATTGGTCGTGAGATAGCGTAGGAAAAAACGCATACGAAAATTTCATACTCAGTGTGCAATGGCCTTAAGACTGGAGTTATGATGCTGTAAATTCAGCTTTTCATCACAGTAATAAATTACATTTGAAAAGATATTAAAATAGAAAACAGTTCATTTAAATCATTAAAATATTTCACCATATTTCTGGTTTTACTGTATTTTTGATCAAATAAATGCAGTCCTGGCATAAGCTACAGTAGGCTACTTCTTTGAAAAACGTCAAAATTGACTTGCCTTATATTGTATTCGAGTGCTGATTGTTTGGTATAAAAATAGTAAATATATTTTTTTTCATTTTCCAAACTGAAACTGCAGTGCAAAGGGAAAACAAATGACAGCCAATCAAAACATATTAATGTTATACATCAGTAGTGAGCGATTTTGGACCAATGAGGTTTTGGCATGGGCGGAGCTATAGAGTGACTGGATGAAAAAAACAAACAATTTCATAGCACAAAAAGCTTTACCTTTTGAAAAGGTCTTGGTATCTGGTCTTCGGATTGGTCCAAACATTCAGATAGAACATTCAGATCCTGTCAAACACATGACGGGAAACGGGATGCCTTGACTGGCAGGCGGAGGAAAAGTTTCTAGAGAAGCAAGAGAAGAGAATGACTAGAAGAGTGTAACAGAGAGAGGGAGAGAATCGCTCCCAGCAAATCGTATAAAGCCATGAATAATTTACCACCTCCTCCAGCAAACCCTGATCTTTTTGTCCGTTGACTCAGGAGACCGAGGCTTTATTGGAATGAAGGCATTCTGTGTCCTAATTTAGCATTTGCTGGCGTATCCCAGAGTGAGAGAGACGCTGCCGTGCTGCCTGACCTTAGAGAGTCCCGTGAAACGCGGCTCCCGGGAGGAACCTGTGTGTGCCTGTTTGGAACAAGTGGGAGAATTGATGTGAACCGAGCGCTGGAATGCTTTAACCCCTCTGAAGATGGCTGCTACAGAGCGATATCATTTTCTTTGAACCCCTGATGGTCCCGCGATGGCTAAATAACTCACTTCACCGGACAGCAGATCGCTGAGAGCTCAAGCGGGAATAGGAGTTCATTTAACGTGAACAGCCCTTCCTCATTTTCTTGCATCCCTCCATCAATCTTTGCCATTTCGTTCCAATACCGTTCCACAAAATGCCTAGTAATGCGATTAAAAAGGAATGCTGCTCTGTCCATTCAGTTTACGATGGATAAATGTCTTGGCAGGCCGTATTCCATGCTTGCTTTCATTTTTTCTGGGAGTGTTGATATATATAGAGGAAGGAAGATGACAAAAGAAGGAAAATGGGATTGGAAATGGATGGAATTGAACTGGGATAGTCCATGAGCACCAAGATGTCTTCCATAAATCGTAATGAATGATTAATGTGTATTTATCTAATATAAATATTTAATATTGTAACATACATATTTAATATTAATATAATGATAACATTAATAATTAATATTCTATATAAATATTTATTCATTTATTTTTTAATATATTTATGTTTCATACAAATATGTGCATGAATAAATATAAATAAATAACATTCTGAATAAATGTGTACATAATCAACAAAGTTAATATTCTAATATAAATATTAATTTAATAGTTGCATGTAAATAAAAATGAATAAATATAAATATTTAATGTTGTAAAAAATCTAAAATATCTTTATATATTATTTAAAATATATAAATTCAATTTTGAATCAATAAGATATATTCAATAAATATGACTGTTAATATATTTAATATTTGTATGTAAATAATAAATGAATAAATGTGTATTCATTTCAAATAAATATTTCATATTCAATATAATTATTTATTTCTATGAATATTTATTCAATTATTTGAATATAAATGTAAATATATAACATTCTGAATAATTAAAAAAAATATTTGAATCAAAATATTTATTATAAACAAACAAAATAAATACATTTTAAGTGGACAAATGTAAATACACATGTTTAAAAAAAAAAAAAATAGGAAGTGCAACAAATTGCGAGCTGGATTGAAACTCTGAGCATTTCAGACCATGTGCAGAAATACCAACTTCATGTTAAAGTGCAACAGAGAGCCAATCGATGTCAACCACTAAAAATGCAATGTATTTAAAGGGTACGTTTAAAAGAGACATCTCAACGTGTAGTGAGCAGCGATCCCGAGAGCAGCTTGTGACAGCTGACCATTGAGTTCCTCCAACCGGACCTCTCGTCGTCCTGAACTTTGACCCATGTGGTTTAATAATGACTTTAATAAAGGCTTTCCTCTCTGACCTCTGCATATTTTCCAGGCTCATTATATAGTCATTGAAGCTAATGATCATCAGGGGGCTCGTTATCTTGCAGTTTTGGCACAGAGCTCAACACACACAGCACTAGAGCAGGATCTGTCAGAGGCCTGCTTTTCCGAGGAACCGTTTTAAAGCCAAATCATTCACAGAAGAGGCTGACTTTATTACATGATGAATAAATGAATAGTTCTGTGGAGCAGAACCCTGTTTTAAAAGGAATGAGCAGTTTGGCGTTTCCTTAATGCTTGTGCGACTCCATAATGCAACAATCACATCTCCGTAAATGCATTTTCTGCTCTACAATCACTTCTTATTTTAATAGAATGGAGAATGAACTTGAGCAGCTGCCACAACCTGAACTTTCACTGTACATTCACAGCATTTACAGTAGAACATGCAAATAGATAGAATAATACCTGAACATGCTGAAGACAAAGCACTTAGACTGGAGTCGGGCAGAGGATGATGGGTAAATATGGTTCTTGGGTTATGCAACAAAACTGAATATAGAATGCCTTGTGGATTCCAATTTAAATTTCTCTATTTGACTTTGTTTGAATTGATGTAGCAAACAGGATAAGAATTGCTATCTGATTTTGATGTATATATATATATATATATATATATACTATATATTTATATATATATATATATATATATACCCAGAAAAAAAATTATTTTTAAAGGTTTTAGATGGAATAGATAGAATGGCAGACAGACAGATAATATAGAAAGCTAGATAGATAGATAGATAGATAGATAGATAGATAGATAGATAGATAGATAGATAGATAGATAGATAGATAGATAGATAGATAGATAGATAGATAGATAGATAGATAGATAGATAGATAGATAGATAGATAGATAGATAGATAGATAGATAGAAATGGCACACAGACAGAAAAATAGATAGACAGACAGATAGATATAGAATGGCAGACAGACATGCAGACAGACAGATAGATAGATAGATAGATAGATAGATAGATAGATAGATAGATAGATAGATAGATAGATAGATAGATAGATAGATAGATAGATAGATAGATAGATAGATAGATAGATAGATAGATAGACAGATAGATAATGATCTATATATCTGACATGCAGACAGACAGATAGATAGATATATAGATAGACAGACAGACAGACAGACAGACAGACAGACAGACAGACAGACAGACAGATAGATAGATAGATAGACAGACAGAGAGATAGACAGGCATGCAGACAGATAGATAGATTAATAGATAGATAGACAGACAGTTAGACAGACAGACAGACAGTTGGACAGACAGATAGATAGATAGATAGATAGATAGATAGATAGATAGATAGATAGATAGATAGATAGATAGATAGATAGATAGATAGTGATCTATCTATCTGACATGCAGACAGACAGATAGATGGATAGATATATAGATAGATAGACAGACAGACAGACAGACAGATAGATAGATAGATAGATAGATAGATAGATAGATAGATAGATAGATAGATAGATAGATAGATAGATAGACACAGACAGACAGATAGATAGATAGATAGATAGACAGACAGACAGACAGACAGACAGACAGACAGATAGATATATAGATAGATAGACAGACAGACAGACAGACAGACAGACAGACAGACAGACAGATAGATAGATAGACAGACAGACAGACAGATAGATAGATAGACAGACAGACAGACAGACAGACAGACAGACAGACAGACAGACAGACAGACAGAAAGACAGTCAGACAGATAGATAGATAGATAGACAGACAGATATATAATGATAGACAGGCATGCAGACAGATAGATAGATTAATAGATAGATAGACAGACAGTCAGACAGACAGACAGATATAGAATGGCAGATAAACAGACAGACAGATATATATATATATATATATATATATATATATATATATATATATATATATATATATATATATATATAGACATATAGACAGATTTGAATTCTTTAAATTCCTCTTCTTGTCATTCCAGTTCCTGTTTGATGTGGCCAATTAAATTCAAATTCACAATAATGGATTGAAAGAGAGCCAATTCCTCGATTCAAAATTCAGTTCAGTCTATATTAGGTGTCTTCTAGAGACTGGGAACTTACTGGGGTAAGAAAGTCAGGGCTGTAATATACTGGGTCCATGTGCCAGATCCTCATCACTGTAATGCCAAGGTCCTCGGCTTTCTGAGGGACAGATGATTGAGCCGTCTAGAGATGGACGGATCTTGGCAAGGATCGCTTTTGGATTGAAGAACAGCTCGGGTTTCAGCTTCAAATGATGGGTGGTCATCCAAGATGAAATGGCTGCCAAATCACCAGTGATCTGAGATATACCTGTGGCTAAGAAGATTGAAATGAAGAATTAACCACATGTTATGTGCATAAGGGACTGCATATTATGCAGTTCAAGCTTAAAAACGTCTGTATCTAATGCTGCTTTCGTTAAAAATAAAAAATACCAGCTAAGAGGTTATGGTTAATAAAAAAAAACTAACATTATTTTTGCATGACACACAATTTCAACTATGAATTGAAGACATTTTTTAGATTCATTGTGCTCAGAAAAATTGAGAAGTATCATATTCTCCTCCATCTATTCCTAGAGCGCATACAAACTAAATGTCATCTGATTGGTTGTAAAACTTCTGATTGGCTAATAACACAAAAATATATATAAATGGTTTCGAAACATCTGTTTGAAATGCCACCTGGATATACCAGGATGGAAGTGCACTTTATTTCAGAGTTCCTCTTCCTCTAAGTAAATATCCCATGGGGCGTGGCCAATTTAATTCAAACACCAACTCATGAAGTGAATACCAATTCTGAATATTCTGCTATCATTGCTGTTGCTTTGACACAATGTATCATGAGAGGCTTGCTCACAAAGCAAAAAGTGATTCAACCCTCAAGGCCTCATATATATACATATATATTTCAAGAGCCTAACCTCATTTAAAATACACATAATCCAGGTATTACTTCAGCTCCTGAACAATAGGTAGCTGATGAATCAGCTAATTAACTGTTCAAGTACAACCGAATGTTAAAGACTTACACTGCCAGAATCTGGGTTAACAGAAACTTCATTAAAAGAACTGACATGAAAATCAACATGAAATGACATTTGCATTCCATTTACAATTAAAACAGGGTATTCAATGGGTTAGAAAAAAATATTTAGGTTAGGATATTTATTCATAATTTGATTTCTAACTCAAATTAAATAAATTGTACTTCCAATGTGGGATTTCCTTTATGATCAGCTTGTGATAATTGGGCATTTACCATTATTTAGTGAAGAGCCACTTCTTCTGAAACATCATGGGCATCGATGGGTTGACATGCTGAAAGGAAAATGATTTATATAAACCATTTTTCCTTGAAAATACCATGTTGAATCATTCATAATCCAACCAGTCTGCATTAAAGTCCCCCTGTGGAGAAAATCAATCTTTTAATGTTGTTTATATGTCTATGTGGTGTTTTTAATATGAGCAAATTCATCAGTCGACACTAGGGATGCACGATATATCGGCCAGCATATCGGTATCGGCCGATATATGTTCATTTTTAATGTTATCGTTATCGGCCTGGTAATAAAATGTGGCCGATATATTAAAGACGATAAATAATGTATTATTCCCTTCAGCTGAGACACTTGTTGAGCACTGTTTCTGTTTTTGAATTTCTTGAAATATGATTGAAATCTCTTCAAAAAATGGAAATACGGTTCGGTACAAGCACAAATCTGTCATATTGGTTATACAACACTATAATGAGAACATCATTATAATCGTGCGCTCGGGACGTGGATTTAATTGTGAGACTTTTTTTGTTTGTTTTTGTAATCAGGCTCTCAAAATTAGGTAAAAATTGGGATTTAAATTTATCGGCCGATATATCGGCTATCGGCTTTCAAATATAACGAATTATCGGTTATCGGTATCGGCCAAAATTTTCATATCGGTGCATCCCTAGTCGACACCATTATTGCGTATTTACTCTTTAAAACTGCGAAGCAAAGACAGTCTCAAAAACGCGGTTTGAAATCGCGGTGTTTCTGATGTCACAGACTACCTTCAGATCAACGTGTGATTGTCAACGAGTGGATCTCTGAGCTGAGTGAGTGAGTGGAGGCGGGGCTCATTTGCATATTCATAGAATGGCATGTAATAAATGAGGCAAGGGTGTAGAGTTACATTCAAGCTATTTTAAGGCACGAAGTCTTTTTATTTCAAGGAAAAAACAGTTTTGGTGATCAAAGATGACTTATAAAGGATAGAATAAGGGAAACATTTAAAAAAAAAAAGGAAAAGCCATTGATTTTGATTATACGTTATCTTCATGAGCATTGACGGTTCACAGGCCTGGTGAGAACACAGGTGATTCAAGCTGGGCAACAGCATCCGAAACACTACATCTGCTGGTGTAGTGTGACCAGCACTGCTGCGTCCTTTGATAGCCGCACACACACACACCACCTCACGGGATGGCGGGCTGACGCTGTCGGCCTTCACTGGGGAAATCATAATAACATACGACAAAGATGCTGCTTTTGAAAGCCGCTTTGAAATAAGGGGGCGTTTAGACAGAGAGAGATTCACGCACCTTCAGAAGCCAGCGCTGCACACTGCAGCTAAAGCCAGAACAGCACACCATCCATCAACAGCAGACACTGCAGCACAACACACACAGCTCTGGGTCTCAAACCGGCACCAAACAATGCAGCGCGTTATCAGTAACATTAGGTTAAAAAAAAAACAACAAAAAAACTAGCAGCGAAAAAAAAAAGCGTCTTCAAATGATCAAAAATGGCATTATGCAGTAGAATGGGAGTTAAAATGAAACTATACAATTATACTCAAACAAATAAAAAATAAATGTTAAAGTCCCCCAGCCACACTCTCAGAAAAAAGGTACAAAAGCTGTCACTGGGGCTGTACCTTTTCAAAAGGTACACTTTTGTACCCAAAAGGCTGCGTATTGGTTCCTTAGTGGTACATATTAGAACCTAAAATGTACATATTAACACCTAAAATGTACATATTAGCACCTAAAATGTACATATTAAGACCTAAAATGGACATATTAGATCCCGAAATGTACATATTAACACTTAAAATGTACATATTAGCACCTAAAATGTACATATTACGACTTAAAATGGACATATTAGCTCCCGAAATGTACATATTAACACTTAAAATGTACATATTAGCACCTAAAATGTAAATATTAAGACCTAAAATTGACATATTAGATCCCGAAATGTACATATTAACACTTAAAATGTACATATTAGCACCTAAAATGTACATATTAAGACCTAAAATGGACATATTAGATCCCGAAATGTACATATTAACACTTAAAATGTACTTATTAGCAGCTAAAATGGACAAAAGTTTACCTTTCGAAAAGGTACAGCCCCAGTGACCGCTTTTGTACCTTTTTTTCTGAGAGTGCATAGTCAATCATTTTATCGCTTAAAATTCTTTGATCACCAAAATTTTTTGACTGATCATAATTACTCCTCAATGGATCGAGTCCAGACCGAACTTCCCGACCAAAAAATGTTGTGGGCGGAGTTCGGGCTGGCATCCAGGCTACCATAAGGGATCGAAACTTGACAGCCCAGAAAGTCAATGAAGAAAATGTTTAGATATTCCATGTGGCAACAGTGGCTCAAGTATAAGTTTAAGTTTATCAAGTGACGAGAATACTTTTTGTGCGAAAAAACAACAAAAAAATAACGACTTTATTCGACTACACCATTTCTTCCTTGTAGGCCTGAGACGAGAGTTCAAGAAATTTCCACGACGCATGCGCGACACCTGCGATCTTCTTCTACTACTTCAGTTCAGTTCTCGCGCATCAGTCGTGGAAATTTCTTGAACTCTCGTCTCAGGCCTACATGGAAACTCAACGCCGGCGATATGTTATGCCCTAAAATGTATTTGTATGCCGCTATATTGAACTGAATCGAACACATTTCAAAGATTCTATGCCATAATAAATTTATAAACAATAAATATATTTTTTACAATAACCCTGTGTTTTTGTGGAGGGCTGTGGTATTTGGGTTGGAGAACATTTGATTAAGCTTTTGTTGGTCTCTGTTTGAGGAGCCTCTCAACACCCAGAGGGGTTTGGTCCACTCATGCTCTCCCATCGAGAGCCTCTATTCATCCACACAGACCTTGGAAAAACCCAACAAGGCTGTTTCAGAATGAATAAACAAGGAATAATGATTAACCCACCCCTGGTCAGAGCTGAGAGTCCATGTGCAGCCTTTTCAAAATTAAATGGGCAGTTCAAACTAAACAATTCACGTTGTTCTTCATCCGAATGACAAAAAGAGATATTTTGAGAGCTGTCCTAGCCAATGGTTTTCATACAACTACAATTCAAAGCTTCCATAAAACTAGTCCATATGCACTATTTCAAGTCTTATGCAGACATACAATTGAAATTGAAGTCATTATTCCCTTAAACATCCAGTCTCGCACGTTAACAAAAGAACTGGCGGCATTTGATTGATGAGTGAAGCACTTTCCAATGAATCCATTGATTTGATTCGCGAAACCGATCAGAATGATATTTGGTCCTTGAACTAACTGACTCAGTGATTTAGTGGCTCCGAGAACTAAATGAATTAAAATTTTGATGTGAATCACAAAACCGGTCTGAATGATTATTTCACCAATCTGATTGATTCAGACTCAATGATCTGGTGACAGTGGTTGACAGTCGAGTCAGTTTGAGAAACGAATCGGTCCGATTTACAAATATTCTGTTGATTCGATTCACAAAACCAGTCTGAATGATTCGTTCATGATTTGGTTCTCAAACTAACTGACTCAATGATCTGCTCACAGAACCAAACTGACCAGATTCTTGAACAAATCATTCAAATGAAAACCAGTCTGAATGATTAATTCATGAATCTGACCAATTTGGACTTACAGGTAACAGATTAAGTTTGTTCACGAATCAGTACGATTGAATCCTTCTGATTGAAGACTTCATGAATCATGTAGAAAACATTGATGAGTCCTTTTCGAACATGAGAGTGCATTAATGATGCAGAATTAGCATTTTTGGGTGATCTCCCCCCTTTAAAAGTGAACTGCCATGTCCGTTTACCCTTACGAGAGCTTTGAAACTTTACAATTGCTCCGTTTTCTCATTTAGACAGCAAAATGGTGTGAGTACTGATAGCAAAAGCATCTTTATTCAATTCTACAATGGTCTTTTGTTTTGTAGTTCCTTGTGAAGGACAGTAAACAGGCCACACTTGTGTAAATGAATATCAGATGTCACATTAACTTGAGATTACCTGTACATGTTTGTTCATGTTCGGGGTAATGATGTGGGTCAGTCACGCTTGCGTTCGGGACTGTTTTCCTCAGATAATACACAAAAGCAGGTTAATGCCACAATGGGAATGAGCCGGGTATTAATCCATATAAACTCCACATCAGTGTCAGTGCTTAAAATGTCAAGCAAAGAGACAAATGAATGGAATTGAAATTAATTACCTCTCAGGCAGAGAGCAATACAATCCCTCTCTCCTCAAACGACTCCTCACTGGAAAAGTCTCAGCTCCACATGAGTGGGATTATTACGCCGTGTGAATCAGAAATAGACTTTTTTTTGTTTTAGAAAGAGCGCCAGGAATAAGCTGCGTAGGTGGACGATTTCCAGCTGAACTACGCCTTCTTTACCAACTCTCCCATGATATTGATTCCCATATATAAAAAAACCTGGTTTGTTGAATAAAGAAATAAACACTGAATTGAAACACAGTTGAATTTATGGAATCTGATAGTGAAAGATGTACCTTTATGTCAGTTCAGCAGTGATGTAGTTCTTCTTGTGTCATTTCCTGTCCATTCTCTGCTGTAGAGGTCACATAATTCTAAAAAAAAAAAAAAAAAAAAGGACATAAAATGTCAGATCTTGGGCACTATCTTTCACCCAAAGGCAAGGCGAGGATATGCAGCTCATTTGCATTTAAGGTTGTATACACCAAAACAGCTCATTTTAAAACAGGCCCCAAAAATGACATATAATAAATGAACTGTGGACTATTTTGAGCTGAAACTTCACAAATACATTCTGGGGACACCCGAGACAAATAATATATCTTGTAAAAAGGGGCATAATAGGTTCCCTTTAAACTTGAGTCGGGCTCAAGAGTCATTTATCCCGCCAGTAAAATAGCAACAGCGCCCAAGACCTGCCCACAAAGATACTAGCGCTTCACGCTTGATACTTTCAGATCGTTAAAATAGGGCCCGTAGTGCTAAATGATTACCATACACTCTTAACAACAAATCTTCCAAAATGGGAAGCCTTTTAAAGTGATTACGTAATGT